ATTGAAGAAAAGCAGGACAAGGTAGGCCTCTATAAATGATTAATTATTATTACTATTATTTTTGAAATCATCAAGTGTGAAAACAATCTACAGGATGAAGAATCAACAACAATTGAAGGTAATGAGGAAGAAAATTCTATAGCTAGTGGTACATTGCAAATGAATGTGTGCTACAGGTTCGCTAAATGGCTGACACAATTGTTTGAATTACAGATTCGGAGAATTATTTGAAAGAAGTGGTAGAATCAATGGTTGGTAAATTAGAAAGAACTCCGTTGACAGTAGATGACATTGACATGGAGAAGATTTTCATAGATTACCGTAATCAATGTAACAACATTTTTAAGTGAGTAGAATCGGCTCCTGTAATTGATATGGACTCAAAATAGTAATCCTACTCATTATTATTGGCTTTTATCAGTCTATGTCATAGCGACATTATGGATATGAGACCTACTTCACGCTTCACAAATGATATTGCAGAAGAATCTTGGAACAAATTTGTGCTAAATACATACCCCAAACATAATCTACCCAAGGATTGGGAAAGTTTTATACAAGAATTCTTCAAGGTATGTCATAAAATCTGGGAAAGATGAAATGTTTTTGGTTTGATTATCTTCGTTACTCATTTTTCTAACGATGACAAAAAAAGTCAAAGGATAGTCTGAAAGAATGGACAAAGGTTTGGCGTGAACTCTATAGTGAAGAAACCAACAAAAAAAACAAAGATCTCAAAGACCTGATAGATGCAATCTACAATATCCTTGGGACATAGTATGTTTTCCTTTATTTTATTACCCTTTATCTATTGCAAGTAGTGTTGGTTTCCAAAATTAGAGAGTTTCGCAACCGTGCGAAAATCAAAAGGTTTCGCCATAAGTCGAAACTAGTTTTGATTTTTGACTATTTACTTTCGATTTAGTTTTGACATATAACTTTTAATTTTAGTTTTGACTTTCACTTCTTCAAAATAGTTTTGGCAACCAACACTAATTGCAAGTAGAATGTTATAATATCATGATTTTGAATTCTTTTTAGTATCAAAGCTTTTGAAGCACCACACAACATACTAAAGTCGGGTGACCTTCGAGAAAATCAGTACAATGCACAGTTTATAAGTCCGATATTAGAGAATACACTGAAGACTATATGTAACATTGACTGGAGAATGTAAGTTCTGATTATCCACCCTAGAAAAATGTTCATTTGCGGTGGTTAACTTTGTGAAATTACACTGTTATAGTCTTGAAGTCCCAGTAGAAAGTAGCAAAGATCGTTGTAATGCAAACATAAATCCAATCGTTGATAAAGTTTTAGAAGCAAAGTGTGCAGATGGGCTTGCTTGTCTCTGGCGAAGCCGTGAAGAAGTGTTCCTATATGAACAGACAGGACCTCCAGACTTTGATGATGTTACTCAATTTTACATACATGATTATAAGTTGGTTCGAGCCATGAGGGATGTGTTAAATCAAAGAATAACCCTTCGTCTTAAAGATGGGATATCTGATCATAAAGACCTAGCAAGCTTTGGTGCCTTTGGCCATCGCACCGAGGTATCTTTATTTTGGTGTACAATACACCAAAAATCATATTAATATTGCCTTCGGGAATACGAAAGTTTCAAGATTCCTGCAATTTGGCAGGATCTTCCTGTACTAGCTGAAGCAATTATAACCTGTCTAAAATTTTTTGTGAGTATAATAAAGTTTAGATAATTCCTTTTCA